GCTTAAGTGGAGAGGAAATGTTTTGAGAATGATGAGGGCAATGAATGTACAAATGCACTTTACACAATTGACGTATGTATGGATTGTGATAAAAGTTGCATGAGCCCCTAATAAAATGATTATAAAAAGATCAGGGTTGTCCTTGGGCTTTGCTCGTTCATTGTAAGAGGTTAGAAGAATGAGCTGGAAGAAATGAGAGAAAACGTTTGAAACCAAAACTAGAGAGTCAAGACAGAGAGAGAGTGAAAGACCCCATGTGCTTGCTGAACACGCTGCTCATCGGGGCAGACAATTTGGAGGCTCTAGGCATGGTCATTAGTAAACTAGCTGAGAACGCAGGTACAAGGTGCGCCTCGCTTTGACAAAAACCCTTTGAACCCTGTTTTCAGTCCACAACTAATTTGAAGTACTGTAGTCAGCTCTCACAATAGACCACTCACCCCTTTCTGATCTCTAGTGGAAATCCGTCAGTGTAAGTGGATTTGAAATCACTTTATGATGTGGTGCGCCCTACAACTCTGATGAAGACATCAGTGCCTCTCCTACAATTAGAAACGTTTTCATCAGGACTGATTTCGTTTTCATTTGAGCAAATCCCCTCCCTTCCTTTTGTAAAGTTGTAAAACGTTTAAAGCCATTTGACTCTGTCTTGAAAGAAAGAGAAAAACCTGAAGTAATACATCCTTAACTTCAGGGGAGCAACTTGGACCCTAATATGCCACTTGCTCTCTTAATGACTTTTGCATCACATGGGAATTCAGTGGTGTCGTGGGTAAGGGCTCAGTTACAATGGTTCAAACCCAGATCAATGGTTCAAACCCAGCAGCCTCTCCATGGGGCCACAACATGGCAGTCCACTTCTGTAAAGATTGACAGCCTGAGGAGCCTGTAGGGGCAGTTCCTCTCTGCCCTATGGGATCACGGACTCGATGGGATGGAGTTTTGGTCATTTTGTGCTTTTATTTTTGGACTTATAGTATTTAAAATCATTTAATCTTCCTTAACAGACTCCCTTTTCGTTTCATACCAGGTTACTGTGATTTACAACCTTTTATTGAAAAGGTCAACATTTCCCAGGGTATTTTTTTTTGAAACCGACATTTGCTTACCACACACGGGGCACCCAAAATCCAGGTTTTTTCTCTCCGGGTCCTAATTTTAAATTTAAGTTCTTAGACACACTGACATTGATTCTGAATATGCCGTTACAATCTTCCTAAAGTGGAGGGGGAAACAAGAGAGGGAAGAAATGAACGCAGAGAAGATGCGTGACCGAAAACAACTCTGACAGAGACAAACAACCATCTTTCAAGAATTAATTGCTGGCCTTTTAGAGTCACTTACATCTCCGAAGACCCCAGGCCACTTCTCACTGTGGCCAGGCCTTTCAAATCATTCTGCTCGCTCTGTGACCGCTCTCCCGGGCCATCCTAAGCACATCTGTCCAGCTTACATTGTCCCCCCCCCACGTCATCAATCTCCAACTTGGGCTGGGCTTGAGGACTTAACAGCCCAATGCTCTTAGGCCATTATTAATAGACTGAGTCACCCACGACTCCTAGGAGGCTGCTTCTTGAAATGTGTAATTATCTTTCTGACCTCTTTTCAATGTAGATCTAAAATAACTCTTCTTTCCTTTCAGAGGCTTGTGGACTAAATGCACCAGCTCCTTATTACTGCCTTCATTCACTTATTTGAGTCACCGTGACCTTGATACAAGTTCCCGGTCCTGTCTTCTCAGGGTCCCAAGAACCTTTAACAAGAGCCCTTGAAGCACGCAGCCACCTACAGTGGCAGGGAATCGCAGCTGGATGGTGACTTGTGAACTAACACAGGCCTGCCCTCCCCAGCCCCTTCTGCAATCCTCAGTCTGAATTCAATTGATAGTGGACACAAATGTTACCTGGTATTCTTACCTGCTAGGGAACTGATAGCTTCTATAATTAGAAATCTAAAATTGTAGGAGTTTCAGCCTTATAGAATATCGACACCAGGCAGCCACATAGTTCAGCTCTATTTGCCTCTCCAGAGAGAGGCATTTGATTTGATTGGAGGCATATTTTACTTGGATGGAAGAGATTATACTCCGGCTCATTTATAAATCAACAGTGTTTGATTCTTTCTATTAACCTATTTATAATATAGGACAAGATCCATAGCAATGGGACACTGAATGATATGGCAGAAACTGACTATCAACCAGACCGTTTGCCCCTTTCTCCAGAGAACAGCACTAACTCACTGTCCAGCTCCCACACACGGAGCACGGAGGTGCCCTGGTCTACCCAGAAGAATGTGGGGGAAGCACCATGTGCCACTTCCGGGCTAAGGCCATAAGCATTCCAGATAGGGCTGGGTCCCTGTTCCTTTCTGCCCACTGCACAGAGAAAACTCTGAGGACATAGCCAAGGATGGAGATGCAGACAGCAAAGAACCCGAATCCCTGGCTGGTCCTTTAGGGGACAACTGTTCAACCTATTCCAGATGTAATCCACACATTGTATTGTGTGAAGCCACTTAAATATTAAGATGCTGTAGAAGCGATTGTAGCTAGTACTGATTTACTAACTATAAAGAGAAAGGCCACACTGGAGAGCAGTTTCAAGCTCGGACCCTTGCTGTGGTTATTGCTAATTGTCTTAATGGGGAAATTCTGGGCAGCTAGGAGCCGGTGTGAGGCCCCTGCCATTTGTTTCCTAATGAAAAGAATGTGGAAAGCGAATAAAGAATAAAACGTGGGAAAGGGGGAGTGAAAGACAAACTTTGCTTTTGTACATTTTGTTTGTTTGTTTGCTTGAAAATAGGTGATTGGCTGATGCTGATGTGCGTCTGAAGCGGCAATGATGAGTGGGTAGGCTGGGAAAGATGGAAAGGGGGTATTTCTGAAGCTCATAGCTGTACATATCTGGAATCTTCCATGTGACTGTGCTGAAGATAGCAACAGTGGACTGACAGTGGAGTAAGAAAGAAGAATAGTTGGTAATGGGGCCGGACCCTTAGGCCTCTCTATCGGTTCCCTGCTTCATGCCAGTATATTGCGTTCTCGTCTTGGCACACTGGGTTGAAGTCTGGTCCCTCTTCCCTGTGGAGATATAACACCCTCCTCCTGGGTGGGTTAGTGGCCTGTTCCCTTGGATACATCCTTGGATACATCCCTTGGATGTTTTTTTCCCTTCCTTTTAAGTTGGCGACCATACGTCTCCCTGGATTTAATCTGGCCCCTGCCATATTACCTGGACCTCACTCCAGGGATGTATGCATATAGTAGCTTCTTCCCCATGCCCCTTTTGCATTTTTTGAGCTGACCTCAGTGGACAGCCCCCCTCCCCACAGAAGAATTCACTTCAGAGGACAGCACTGAAGCTACAGCTCAGGGAGAGGGATGTGTCTGATGAGAGCACATGGGAGCCAACTAAGCAGAGAGGAAAAAAGAGTGAAGCACACCCTGGCCCACCAAGCCCTGAGGACAATATATCTGCTCAGAGCAGCCAATGCACAGAGAGGACCATAAGGCTGGCCTGACCACGAGACACGACCCACATAGCGCCACGGGGGACAACACTGGAGACACATGGCAGGAATTGTGCCCGCCCTAAGCCCACCACACCGAGGTGAGATGCTGGGGGCATGCAGAGCAGCAAAGGGAGCAGAACAATGAAGTCCCCAGGGAAGGCCAAAAATAGATTGTGGGGTCAGGGCATGGCACCCCATCAGACTCAACTGGAAAACACTCGTAAAGGACACCAAATAGACCATGAACTATTTATAGGCTTTTCTTTTTTCTTTTGTTATTGGCTTTTTGTTGATGTTGTTGTAGCTATTGTTTTATTTTCTATTGTTGCTTTGTTTTGCTCCGTCTTATGTTTCTGCATATTGCTGTCTCTGCATATCTATCTGGATGGGATAGGCAGGATAAACAAGCTGGAAGAGAGAACAACACAACGGGACAACAGTTCTGAGGGGACATGGGAGATGGGGAGGTAGGGGAAAGGAAGTGGTATTAACAAACCCAGGGACAAGGGAACAACAAGTGACCCAAAATCGATGGTGAGGAGGGTGTAGGAGGTTTGGTAGGGCTTGATCAAGGGCAATGTAACCAAGAGGAATTACTGAAACCCCAGGCTGAACATGATAGTGGGACAAAAGGAAAGTAAAATAAAATAAAAAGGAATAATGTGAATGAGGGGGGGGGGGATGTGGAGTGGAGGTCCAAAGCCAATCTGTTAGCAATTGAACATCCCATTACAGAAGAGTCGTGGGGAGAAGACGGGCCAGTTTAAGAGTGCAGTGTAGCACTGATGAAACATACAGCTTTCCTCTGGTTCTTTAATGCTTCCTCCCCCCACCACCCCACTATCATGACCCTAATTATACCTTACAAATCTGGCTAGACCAGAGCATATACATGGGTACAGAAAAGAGCTGGAAACACAGGGAATACAGGACAGATAAATTCTTTGAGATGAATATTGAAAGTAGCCATACCAGGAGGGTAAGAGGAAGGTGGGGTGAGAAAGGGGGACCTGATCACAATGACCTATCTATAACCCTCACCCAGGGGGATGGGCAACAGACTAGGGGGTAAAGGGAGGCATCAGACAGTGCAAGACATGAAAACATAATAATTTATAAATTATCAAGGGTTCATGAGGGAGGGGTAGAGGGAGGGAGGGGAAGGGAGGGGAAAAATGAGGAGCTGATACCAAGGACTCAAGTAGAAAGAAAATGTTTTGAAAACAATGATGGCAACATATGTACAAATGTCCTCAACACAATGGATGTATGTGGATTGTGATAAGCGTTGTACAAGCCGCCAATAAAATGATTTTTTTTAAAAAGAAAGAAGTCTTTGTGATCTATTTTCAGCCTTTCTATCCATCCAGCAGAGATCTGCCTGGTTTAAACAGCAGGGGTCCCTGAAAGTTTTGATAGGAGGTGCTCAACTGACCCTCCATGGTCAACGACACCTGCATTTTTAGCCCAAGAGACAGAAATAAAAATCTTACCCTTCTAATAATATTGGGGTCATTGCACTTTGCCAATTTCCCAGCAAAAAGTTGAACTCCAAAGCTCGCAAAAACAAGCATCAATGTCAGCAAGAGGATGGAGACCTGAAATAAATGGTGGAATCGTTACATGTCTTGTTGAAAACCGTGGGTTCAGATGTACAGGAATACAAACCGGACCTTGCAGACAGCACTGAGTGAAACGCATGTTTTCACATCAGATCCTTTAGCGTCTCCACCCCAGATCCTGCAGCTCATCCTGCTGAAATGTCAAGTCAAGGGCATTAATAACGGGCTTAAAAACTCAAAGCAAATGCATGTGGTTTTCATGTAAAGAAGTGGGCTGAGACAGCTCAGAAATGACTTTGAGTCTTCTGATTTTAAAACCAACTTTGCTCTCTCATCATATGTTCAATAATAATCTTTTTTTCATATTTCCTCAAAATGGGTCGTATCCCTGCTGGCAGAGAGTGGAGGAAAGGCTCAGAGGCAGTGCTTTTCTATGAGGCTGTTTCATGCCCAGGAGCCTGGACATAAAGTGCCGCTTACTCGGGCGCCCTCTGCTGGCTGATGAATCTCAGCTCCTCAAACTGTACCAGATGAATAATCTAAGCACCCATTTCGAATAGACTCATATTATCCAGAAACGTCCTTTGGAAAGAGGAAAAAATTTTCTTTCTTCTAAAATTGGTCAGAAGTAAAACTATGCACAGAGAGTAGCTGTCCTATGGCAGTCCTTTAGTTCCAACTATGGGAAAAGTCAGTGTTTCAGATCTTTTAGCTACATTTATGTGAAACTTTCAGATCACAGTTCTTGGGCTAGTGTTGGTGAGCCCATGCCTCGGACAACATCACAAACTGACTTTAAAATACATTCGAATCAACTTCAGTACAGCTAATCTCTCCCGGAAGTGTGTTTCTGTAAAGCAAGATATTAAGCAAACTTACGTAAATGAATTCGTTTGTTTTTTCCCTCCACAAAGAGGAAGCTCATCAATAATAAAAAGCATCCCTTGACCAGTCCTTTGTAACGCAAACCTGGTGGTGGACAAACCTGTCCTTCTTCTTTTTATCCACAGTCTCCTTCCTTGGAGACCCTAGACCTTATATGTAAGTGTCCATTCTTGTTCACGGTGGTTTCTGAGTAGGGTATTCCCGCACATTACCTTTTTCTGTTGTTTCAGGTGGACTCTCTAGGGCTTTAGAACAGTGGTTCTCAACCTTCCTAATGCCGAAACCCTTTAATAAATACAGTTCCTCATGTTGTGATGACCCCCAGCTATAAAATTATTTTTGTTGCTACTCCATCACTGTAATTTTGCTACTGTTATCAATCAGGTGACCCCTGTGAAAGGGTCATTCAACCCCTCATGTTGAGAACCGCTGCTTTAGAGCCAACTTCTATGCTATGGGCTTTTAGCATCACACAAATTGAGAATGCGTGTGTGTGCCAAATCCATTCACTCCTAACCACATCTGTGGAGTAGATGGTGTTAAGCCTTCTTCTGCTCAATTTCCAGATGGGAGAACTAGAACCCTGAGTGGAAATTAGGGGCAAAAGGCTGGAATTAAAGAGTCAGCAGATGCTCCCTCTAGGGGTTCTTCTTTCCAAAAGGCTTTCTTTTCCATTTACTCGGTGGGTTCATTGAATCAAGCCTACTGGTAAGTCAGAGTACTTATGAGGGAGCCGTGGGGAGGCTTGCAAAACTTATAGGCAACAGAGGCAAACACTGTCAATGCACACAATTCTGCAATAGTGGCGAACCTATGACTCGATGCCTGGATAGACAGGTGGAACAGGTACAGGAGAGAGTGGAAGTATACTCAGAAATATACATAGATCTTCCCGGGGCTATTGATATTTGCACATTTGCCTTGACCGTAACTATATCCATAAATGTTGTGGAGCATGCAGGGACAAAGTTATGAGAATGTCGTAGGCACAATGAACCACCTTGATTGACAGTCGTTGGGCCTGGGGTCTTAGGACCTAGTCTTGGGGGACGTGACTGGCATAGCACAGTTCACAAAGACAATGGTGTGCGATGTATGTTGCTGAATAGGGATTGGAGTCTTCCAACCTTGTGAGCAGCCGTCTAATGCACATTCTTCCCTCCCTAGCCAGAGGAAAGGAAAATGATGACGGGAAAGACCCGTGGACAGAGTTCGTCCAGTGCGCTACTGGACCGTGCGAGCGCCGGTCTCCCAACCCAGAGATCTGCAGAACTAGATGGTTCCTGGCTCCCACCTGCTCTGAAAAGGATCATGTTCGAAGGTCCTGGAGAAACTAGTCAGACAAACAAACAAATAAACCAACGTGGAGCAGAACTCAAAAACATAAAAGAAACCGGGGCTGTTCATTGTACAGAGACTGGTGGGGCTCCCAGGACTACAGCCTGCCCTTCAGGTTTGTACTTGAACTCACTCACTCACTCACATTTTAGAAGAATCAACCACTTTAGATAGAAAGGTCAGCATGAACCCGAGGACAGAGAGCGAGGAAAGAAGGAGGGAGGGGAACAGGAAATCCTGGGGGGAGGCAGGATAAGTAGTGGTACATTGAGAGGGTTGAAATGGAAGCTGTGAAACACAATATGGACAGATGGTTGCATGTAAAACCAATGGTCTACTTTGTCCTCCTTTACCCAAATCACAAGGCAAACTACAGAACAAAACAACCCCGAAAGTACCCACAGTGGCCATGTTGACTACGTGCACTCTCTTGGTGCCTTTGTACCCTCTGGCAATAAATATGACAGCTGACTTACTTGACGAGCAAGCCTCCGCTCGCTCTCGCAGTAGCTACTTCTCAGAGGTGGGTCTTTCTGAACTGGAAGAGAAAGGTCATTGTAACTTACCAAAAAAATCTCCTTGAAGCCACTGAAGAGTTCCCGCACGACCTTCCGCATCTGCGGCACCAGTTTGAAGATGCGGAGGGGTCTCAGGCACCGCAGCACCATCAGGAGTTGCGCTCCAGATTCAGCGGGCACGTTTTGAGGCATCCAGCAGAGAAATATCAAGCTCACCTGGAGGGACGAACAGCATTGCTGGAGTTTATGCCATGTACACCGATTGTCTACATTTCCTGACAGACAACTCACTTTAATTTGCCTTTGGCAGAAGTTCGTAGTGCTATGGAGGATGACAATGAGGAGGTCTCTTAGGTTTTAAAAAAGCTAAAGCCAAGCTGTAGCTTTTCCAGGACACAGAGGGAAGCAGGGTGCCCAGTCACATGCCAGGAGTGGCCGAGGGTGGTCAGTGAGGGGCTGTGTGTCAGTCAGTGCCTTCTCTCTCCTAACTCCCTATACTGGTGGCTCAGCAATGTCGACAGGATGGGGCCTATTTTCATCAAGGTTAGGAAGCCCTGGCACTGTTGTTTTTAATTAACTTCATTTTTCTATTGTTGTAGAAGGAGATATAACAATATTTTCCAGTATGGCCCTTTACACAGACACCATCTAGTGATGGCTGTAACAGTGATCATGTGGTCTGTGCGGCCACTACTCATAGCTGTCACCAAATGCCATCACCGCTTGTGGAAGTTACATAATTCCCTGCCAACTTGAAGATATATAAAAGTGTAGGGGTGGAGTCTAGCCTGTTGACAGTCCCTGGTTGCTGCCAGAGCCCTGAAGACGTGTCCACTGCTGTTGGAGCCACAAGACTTTGCACCCATCGGCCTGCGAGCTTCCTGCATTCTGCATCGTTGCATGTGGCTGTGTGAGTCTGAAGAGAGACTTATGGACTCGTATTGGACTTATGGACTTGATTTGAACTTGGCTGGGATGCTTTCCTGATATATAAAGCTTCTTGATACGAAGCTCTTTATCACACTTATAAGAGTGTCACTGTTTCTCTCGTCAACCTGACCTAATACACCACTGATCCAAATGCTGCACTTCCTAAATAATGATTCCCCCACCAGCCTCCTCCTCCCACCCTGGGTAACGATGAATCCATTTTTGTTTCTAGACATTGCCTAGGCTAGCTATTTCCTATGAGAGAGGTGGTACTATTTTATTAATGATAGGAAACATAGTATGTGCTAACGATCACATTTTTAGTGTGGATATTGTGTCTGAAGATTAATTGACTTCATGTTTTCTTTAACATACAGGAAAAAAAGTCACATTTCTTTCAGACCCTCCAATAGTCTTACAACTTATTTTGACTGAATGGTTGTTATGTGTTCACTCACTGGCTGCCATTGAGTCAATGCCAACTCATAGCAACCCTGGAGGGCAGGGTAGAATCCCCCCTGCGAGTTTCTGAAATCTTAACTCTTTACAGGAGTAGGAATGGCTGGTGGTTTTGAACTGCTGACCAGGGGGATCACAGCCCAAGGCATAACCACCACCCCATCAGAACTTGTGGTCAGCTCTTAGGATGAAGTATTTCGTGTACCGAAGGAATGAGGAGAAAAATCACCTACATTCACTTTGGTTTCCTTTCAATAATAAGGGGAGAGTCCTGGAGGCGCAATGGTTAAGGACTCAGTTGTTAGCTGAATGGTTGGCAGTTTGAATCCCCTCCCCCAAAAGCTGTCTGCTTCTTTAAGATTAAAACCAAAGAAAACCTTGGCGACAGTTGGACTCGGTCATATGAGGGCTATATGAGACTTGACAGCATGAATCACAACAATCCGGAGTTCATCAGTCAATGATACAATTATGTGATACAGTTTTTATTATTCTTTTGGAATATGAGTGACACGAATTCTGGGATGTGGACTAGATTTATTATTTTAGACCTTCCTCGTTTATGCCTTACTTGTACCTGAAGTTGTGGTGGATGCATTTGGACAATGTACCTCTCCATTGCTATTTATAGTGCTTTTTATTTAGATTTTACATAACGCCAACTTATTTGCATGCAATCCACTACTCAAGGATTCAGATATCTAAACCACTCTGACCCACGTTTATGATCCAAATGGCTCTCTTCAAATTTCAGAACCTTTCACAAAATGACCATATTTTCGCAGGAAAGAACCAGAGACTTACAAGGTAGATAAAGATGTCCATTACGCCGCCAAAGTCCCTGATGACAGCCGTTGGAGTGAAAAATAAGCCATCCGCCATAATCTTCAGATTAAGCTCAATGCTCATGAATATCACAAACACAAACTCAGCAATCTGAAAACGGGCAAAAGTCAGATTGGTCTGAACGAACAGAAAAATTGCAGGTCAGGGCTTCTCCTCTTAGCTGTGACCTGAGACGTAACAGCTGTACCTGCAAAGTAGGTGCATGCATGACTCTTCGGAAAGGCGATTCAAACATCATGGAAATGCAGGAGCAGATGGTCACTACAATCATGACCCAGTCCAGGTAAGTAACCAATCCCAGCAAATCACTGCCAAAGACCAAACAAGAGTGAGAAGCACAAATGGCCTAGAAAGAGCTGCTAAGGGTCGCGGTGACAGTGCTATGACAACTCACATCAACGTGATATAAAGCCCAACCACCTATTTCATAGTAGTATATCTAGCAGGAAAATAAAGAGGAAATTTCACAGCAGAAAATAGTACACGAAAGCTCCAAATGTGCATGGAAAACTGAGTTTGCAATGCTTACTAAAGTTGATGGTACTTTGTATTTTTCACAGCTCCTGTGACTGGGTCGGTTTTAGACCTGTAAGAGAGAATGAGCATATATCGAGTCTGCAAGATAGCAAGGTGTGTTCTGATGTGATGGTCTAAACCTAAACCCATGGCAGTAGAGTTGATTCCCAATCACTGGGGCCCTCAGGACAGAGTAGACTTAATTGATCCTTAAGGTTTCTGGGAGCAGACAGCCTCAGACCTCTACAGAAGAGCTGGCTGACTGAGTCCCTGACCTTGTAGGCTAATGTTTAATTCCCAGCATCACCAAATACCTCAATGACCTAAATGTTTCTTTATGCCCTCCATAAATGTCCTGTTATAAAATATGTTACCTACATGTAGGAGGCAGAGAACTAGATGGAAGAAAAGGCAAAAGAGTTCACAGTTGATTTTTCAACAATGAAGAGAGATGTTCCCCGAATGTGCAACACCATTGGATAATTTCTGATGTGGAGATCACAACATTAATTGTTGTCTTTCATTTAAAAATCTTCATCTAAAGTCTTTACCTTATTAGTTCAAGGATATCTCTCACAGCCATTTAACTAAATGCTCCCTAATAAACAGAACTCTTCACTCTGTATTTAACTATATGTAATCTTATGACCTAATTTATATGGACTTTTGTAGCACGGGGACTTAGGACCTTTAGTTAAAAAAACCCATGACCAGTCTTCAGGGGAGCTTCTGACAATTTTCCCCAGCGTCCTTGCAATGACAACAAAATCTTTGTCAATTGTGCTCAACACCAACTGCATTACTGCCAAGAGAAGAATCCCACCACACCCAACGGAGTGGAGAATTAGCGATTCTGTGTTAACATGAAGACCTTCCACAGTGTAATTCGAGATGAAAAACCCCACCTCCAAACTGCCTCCTTCTGATTTGAAGTCATCGTGAAACCTTGGGGAAATTTTCCATGATTCTTACCAGGTATTTTAAATCGTGAAGGTTTGTCTAGAACAGCAAAGAAAAAACCCAAAACCCAAACAAAGAAAACCAACCCAACAGCTGGTCATCCCAAGAGAGCCAAGTCCTAGGTGCTGTCCTTGAGCAAAGCTGGCCCCCCATGGACCAGTAGGTCTTGTCTCTGCTGAAGGGGGAGGCGGACAAATGATCCCAAAGGATCCCTGAGGGCCGCCTGCAGCCCTGAACAAGGATGATAGCGAGGATCGTTTGTTACTGATGACCAACAAGAGATAAACGGAGGTCTCACTACCTGATGGAAAGTCTCCATCCTTCCTGGGGGGGTTCCTAATGAGTTCAGGGACTTTATCTAAAGTTACCATGGACGAAAACTCCATTTCATCCACCGTGGGCCTGCTGAGCTTGGTTTAACCAGCACCCCGGTTGCTGACGATTCTGACTCATGGGCCCCTCACCTGGGTTCAAGTGAGAAGTGGGCTCCATCAGTCTCCAATGGATGAGTTTTCAGAGATAGATTGCCAGGCCTTTATTCTGAGGTGCCTGGCAGTGGAGTTGAACTTCCAACCTTCGGTTAGCAGTCACAGGTATTGGCTGTTCATACCACTCACGGACTCCAAAACACAGAACTCTCATGGTCTACCATAGTCATAGCATTTTAGGCATTTCTGCCTCTTTTGGTAAAGACAGAAACAGTGGGCAGTGGATTTTCTTTCCTTAACCACTGAATGTAAAAGCACTAATCAACTCTTTTCGACTTGACATTATACTAGCATGAAACAAATGGGCTACCTTGACCATACAGGAAGTACCACCTGGAAGAAAAAACAGGTGGGCCTTCCACAGGCCTTAAAATGTTGTATATAAGAGGTCACATATGGAGGACCAAGCCCAAACCCCCTGCTATTGAGCAGATGCTGACTCACGGGGAGTGCTAGGGAGTGGAGGAATTTGGTGGCGCTGTGGATTCATCTGACCTGTGCTAGGTCATTTAGACGTGCTTTGTTTTTGTATTCCCGGCAGAAAAAGATGGACTGAAGAGGAAAATAGAATACGGAAGTAATAAACATATGGGCCCCAATAATAGGCCAAGGGCTTCGCAAATGCGAATTTTCTATAAATGTTAACTACTTGCAGGCTTTATTTGTTCCCCACCTGGTCAGCACGTGTCCGGAGGGGCAGCATGATTAATTAGCGTGCGGTTTACTTTGTGGCCCTAATAGGATCACACGCTCCTCCCCCTGCTGGGAGGGGGACAGGACGGAGGCCACACACCTG